TTACGGTTTCATTTGCATTTGAAATTTTAGGCAGAAAAAAATCGTTCCGATACAACGTAAAATTGAAAGACGCGAAGTGCGTCGGGAGGAGAAGGCGCTTATTGCAGCCAAACTGGATAATGCGATTGAGAAAGAATTGCTGAATCGATTGCGAGAAGGAACTTATGGAGATCTGTATCAATTCAGGTATTTGGTGACTGTTTTTTCCAACTTCCTTTATTGCTCTCTAGTATTGGCTTTTAATTTATCTTTCTGATTTAGTAGCAAAGAGTACAGTTCGGCATTGAACGAGGAAGTAGAAGAAGAATTGGGAATCAGGGAAAGAGAAGTGGAAGTGGAAGATGATGGGGTATGTGATTTAATTTGATACCTCCATTCAATGTTTTGAGGCTTTTTAATAACAATCTTGTTTTACAACTTTCTGAATGTTGCCTTTGGAAGACTAATCTTTTTATGCAGGCTAATTGGTGGGGGAGTCAGTTTTTTCAGGAAAAAAATATGTGCCCACTAGTGTAGAGTGGTTTTAGGTTGGTCCCGACCACGAGTTCGTAGCAGAATTTAGTGAATCAGAGGACGAAGATATAGAAGATACGGGTATTGCTGGGACCAGTGGTTTGGTTTCTGATGACGTTGTAGTTTCCAGCGGCGACAGTTCGGAAAGCGAATCGGAATTAGAAGAAACAACGGTACAATTTTTGCTGCCTAGTTTGAGTGTTACTTATTCTCTTCTAGAAATAATGAGAATGATTTGAGCTTCCTGCTCTTCTGTTTTTATTCCACAATAAGATGAAGTTCTCCTCCAAATACATGAGAGGATTCATTAGGAAAAAACAATAGCCATCGTCCAACGCCGCTGTAATGCTGAATCATTAGTCATTTATTTTTTTACCATATTTCTTGTCGAGTTGGTATAGAAGAGAGACTGGGCAAGTGGAACAGTTCCACTGTCACAGTGAGATCAGTTTCGACTCGTTAAATTGCTTAACCCCAGCTTTGTTGAATCTTGGGTGGGATTTCGAAACCCTTTTGATATAAGGTGGCTCCCCTTTGAACTTAAAAGGCACTGTAAGTTAATTATTTAGACTACCAAGAAATCCCGAGGAGCGAGAGTAAGACATGCACAACGAGGAAGACAAAATATTACTAGAAGGAAATCTCGAATCAAGCCTCACATTGAAATCGAATACGAGGACGAAGAACCAGTAAGGGCCCGTGCAAGAGAAACGAACTAGGTCTTCACGACAATTTTGTTTGCGGCAAGTCTCACGAACCAACTAGCAATTGCCTTCTCACGCCCCATTAAACACTTTTGCTTTCTGACATCTTTAAGGCGCCCAATGACGTGTACCAGGCATGTGTGAGCAATGAAAGTCGTTGCTTTGTTACTGTCGAGTACGACGATGAAAAAAAAAATGACATTCAACTGCACTGGCAGTGTGCCACATAAATTGCACAGCAAATATGTTGTAAAATTTGTCACCGGATTGTACAGAAAAGGAAGTTTTATCAAAGCTACGGCTTCGGTTTAGTCTGTAATGGTTCGTGCAGAAGAAAGACCGGGTCGTTTATTAAAGGCATAGGAACCACTATATACAAATAAATATGAGGGAATGCAGAGAAGTGAGTGATTAAAAGACTAATTCTTTCATGTCCATGAGCTTTCTAAGTAAGGCACGAAACATATGGGTCGTTTACTTAAAAGAAAGTTCTGCCGAAAGTCAATAGTTCATTTAAACAGATCGTATCTATCTATTTTCTATTGTTGTAAATTACAAAGCCTAATGATTAAAATAAAGTAGCAAGCTATGTTTACGGTCTTAAATGCTAGAAATGCGTGGCCAACTAATTCCGTTACATGAAGATTGTTTAGTTTGACTGTCCTTGATATATTTTCCTTTACCAGATAGGAGCTTCTTTGTATTTCATCATAAGATGCCAATCTCCTGAAACCAGACAGTCAAACAATGGTGCGGTATAAGAGTATAAAAGTGCAGAACACTGAAATCGTCAATAAAAACTAGGAAAAAAAGTAAGCTCTACCAAAACTTACAGCTATAATAATCATTATTTTTCTTTAGTAGTTGGTCTAGTAACTGCAACGGACGGTGTAGTTGGATTTCAATCCAGCAAGGAGTCTCTTTTATTGAACTGCGATTGTAACCAGGGCCCCAGCCCTTGACGAAAGAGATGGCAATAGTACAACAAACCTATGAAGAAGAAAAACTTATATGGTCCTATTCGAATTTTGAGTTCGTCTTAAAAATACCAATGCATTACCCTCCTTAAATCGTCCACTCCAGTGCCAGCATGCTCAATAAGAGATGGAGTTAACGAAGTTGGAGAGGCAATGCCAGCTACGGCAGCCGCTTGCGCAGCAACAGCTAAACGAGCTGAATTGCTTTGCTGCTCCATCTCCGCATAGGCCCACCGTAAATCGAAAATCTGAACTTACAAGAAAAATAAAGACTAGACGCATTTTAAAAAAGTAAAGGATTTACTAAAAGACATGAATGAGAGAAAGTTTGTAAAATGACCTTAAAAGTCTTAAAAGGAAACGAATAATAAGCACTATTTGGATCCAAAACATCTTTAACTTTAACGTTACCTTTCGGTTAGGAGCACCTGAGCAAAATTTATGTACTGTCATCCCATATTCGCTATTGTGCTCAAAATCAAGGTAATAACTACGGACGTAGACAGATTGGTGTGAAAGACACTCTAAATAAACCGACCCATCTCTCTGGGTCGAAATACGCACTCCTTTTCCAATATGCAGCCTGAAAATGGTTAAAAACTACCCTAAATGACAATAGAGCGCATTTTAAACTTTAAGACCAATAATCCAAAACGAATTAGAAAAGTAACCTTGTCTTTTCAGATGGAGCATCTCGATGGACATTGGGGAGAGCACCTAGACAGAATCTACCTTGCTTCGTGGCAGACGGATTTACTCCACCGTCAACAACAACCTAATAATCGACGAATGTAGACAAGAATTCCTACACTTAATCGACCAGTGATTGGTAAGGATAAGTGCAAACGTAAATGTACTTCAAAGACGACCTCAATTTGATCTTTCCGTACTTTGAACGTTTCTCCTACTTGTGTGTCGAACTCATAATAAGTGATTGAACACCAATGTTCTAACGCTAAAAAATATTTTATGAATTCATAAGAGTTCCTGTAACAGCTGAACATGAAAGAGTAAATTCACTACAAAAATATTCTGGGAAGAAAACATACGTCCGATCGGTGGCAGTTGGACACTGTTCAAATCAACTAAAATGAAAAGAGAATTTTCTCTTACACAAAGGTAAAGCAGTACAGGAAAAATTATTTCCTATAGATGCATTAAACAGTAAAGACCCTACATCTTCCAAGCCCTCCAATGCGAAAACTGGAGCAAGGCCCAACGGGAAACGCATCTGTAAGCAATTTCGCGTAAAAAAATGAACATGCCTTACATTGGCGTAGAAATTCAATCCAATCTAAGAAATCAACTACAAAAGGCACGCACCTGAGCTGTTGGAATATAACTGAGTTGAAGGTGAAGGATTTAGTGAACAGCTCTGATTCATCCACTGAGTATGAAGTTCCTCTCCATTACTGTGAATCATACCGCCAGAAGTCTGATGCTTAAAGCCAAAAAATAAACCACATTCATGACATTAAATGCTAAACAATAAAATCCACCATCTTCGTAAGAGCACCTGTTGTTGATTTATCTGAAATGGACGCTGCACATCAGTTTGGCTTCCTGAGATGTGTGAGACGACTCCTCCGTCCACTGGTAACGCCATGAGGTTACCTTGGTTTGGAGTAGATGATAATGAAGTTAAAGAATCTAATCGCAAAGTAGACATATCTAAACGTACATCATTTAAACGACCTCTTCAACTTGTATCGTTGATTTTGAAAACAAAGCATACCGATGTTCCCAATGCTGGATGAAACAATCCTTTCATAGTGATAAGGATTAATACAGATCACATCCTGAAAATAAATGCACGATCTGAGCCAAGTTAAGGCCTTTCATACTTATATCCTTGAAAGTACTGTTAAAGATACTACGACAGCAACGTTCAAACTGATAAGTCAAAACGAAAAGGTGGTACTTGATTGTCGGATGAAACGGTACAAATTGGCAATTTTTGAAGTTCATTTTTATTTACATTTGGCCAACGCCATATTCTTGCATAAACTACATGAGGTACACCTTTACGTCCAGCGACTTGTAAACGACCATCTAACGATCTCTAAAAACCTTACAGACTATAACGTCAAAAAATATCTTTAATGCCAGAATTAAAACTCAACTCCATTAAAAACGAAAAGACAGTAGAGAAATAATTAAACATTTTATAACGGATCTGATCAAACAAATTTATTTAAGAATGACAGTCGAGAAGAGGAAACAGGCTCTCCATTATAAGCGCTGAAAAAAAGTAAGAAGCTCAAATTTAAAAAATTTAATAAAAGATTTTCCATATCTTCTTAAAAAAATTTAAATAAAAAATAAAACATTTTCTCTTCCAGTATGATGGTTCCACCTTCCTTATTAGTTGCAATGAAACACAGCCATGTTTATCACGATTAGAATTTATTGGCTTAACTGGCTGAAAGTAAGAACCAACCAAAATGAAAGAGCTCCAAAATTTATGCCTAAGCCACTTGATTCTGCATAGGGGCGGAAATTTTTAACACTTTTCATCTTCGGCCTTACTCAAACCACAACTATTGTATTTGACGGTAGGTACAGCAAAGAATTAAATTTCCTGACTTTCTCCACGAATCCAATTTCAGCATAGTATTACTGAATATATAGTAAATGAAGAAGAAAATTCTACAGATTTTACCTTCATTCGCTAACATATATGGTAGCCAGACAAAATAAGAAATATAGCAAATTCCTTGGAGTTTTAAAATACAAGAGTACCATTTTTGATAGTCATTAATGAAAATTACTTTAACGAGATTTGCCAAGATAATGTGCCACAACTTAGGGATGAAAGTAAAGATGATTCGAGCATTTGAAACAGGATGCTGCAGCACATAAAAAGAAATATTTCTCACCATAGACAAGAAATTTACAGCGACACCATTTCTTTGCATATGAAAGACTTTTTAACCCCGGATCTCCACTTAAATCGACGTGTTTTGAAAAAAAGACAATTTAGCGGATATTTCACTTGAAGCTGACAAAAAAAAAAAAAAAAAAAAAAAAAAAAAAAA